GAGCAGGGAGCAGGACGCCTGCAGGGCCATGGCAGCGAGACCGTCCATGGGCGAGGGGCAGAGTTGGCTGGAGAGCGAAGGACTTGGGCTTCCCTTGGGCCTGGGTCTCTTCTCCCCTCCCCCCAGGCTCTCTCCCTGGCCAGGGCCCCAGCTCCCTGCCCATCTTCTGGGAGGAATGAAGGAGTTACCGTGGTGACTGACTGTAGCTGACCAGCTGGGAGGGGGCCAGCAGTACACTGAGGAGGAGGGGTCAGGAGGTACTTGTCTGGGTTTCGGTTGGACTGAGTCCCTAAATCTGAAGAGAAACAGGTTTGTGCAAAGCGTTCTAGGAGGTGGATGAATGATGGGAATGACCAGTTCCCTGGGGTCCGCTTCTCCGTTTCTTCCTAAGAACCCGAACTCTGACCCAGCACCCCCTCCCCTCTTCCAAATGGCTGAATCCCGACCTCTCTCCTCTCCACTTGCCACCTCTGGTTCTCCACTTATTCATTCTTTCTCAGCCCTCCCTTCCCTCTCCTCTCCCTGACACCAGCCCCATAGGGTCCGGCGGTTAAGAATTTAGGTCTAGAAGTCAATACCCACGTTTGGACCTCCCACTTAACTGTAGTACAAATATATAAACTCTTTGAGCCTCCGTTTCTTTATCTGCAAAATGGGCTAAGAGCATGTCTTACCGAGTCTAATGCATCATTGACTGGAAGATGCACCATTATTTCATGTACCAGTAAGAAAGGGAAAAAATGCTGCCAATTATAATTATGACAACATCAACCATAGGCATAGTCTGAATTCAGAAATGTTAAAATGTGGACAAGTGTGTCTGTTAGACTCGATGAAATAGTGCCAACTACCTCACAGGCTGATGTGACATTTGAGGGCTCTGTAAATGCTAGCTTTTATAATGTCTTATCTAGCCTTGCTCTCTCTTCCTCCCTTCCTCCTCCTCACTCTCCTCACCTCATCTTGTCCACAGAGATCCTGATCAAGGTCCAGGTGTATGTGAGCGGGGAGCTGGTGCCTTTGGCCCAGGCCTCAGTGGATGTGTTTGGGAATCGTATGCTGCTGGCTGCTGGCACCACGGACTCGGAGGGCGTGGCCACACTGCCCCTCAGTTACCGCTTGGGCACCTGGGTGCTGGTCACTGCTGCCCGCCCTGGCTTCCTCACCAACTCCGTGCCCTGGCGCGTTGACAAGCTGCCCTGTGAGTGCAGGGGCAGGTGGAGGGGGGACAGCAGCTGACCCCATCAACCCCTTCCCAAAATAGTCCTTGGGGGCGGAGGGGGTAGGCTTTCCAGCAGCTGCTGCCTGGCCTGGGGTGTGCAGAGGGGCTGAGGGAGGATGAAGTCACTAGGATTCGGGTGGAGGGAGTGCCCTGCCTGGGTGTGGGCAGGGGCTTTCTCTGGAGCTCACAGGCCCACCCCCCACCCCCCCCGCAGTGTATGCGTCCGTCAGCCTCTACCTGCTCCCCGAGCGGCCGGCCACCCTCATCCTCTATGAGGACCTGGTGCACATCCTCTTGGGTTCTCCTGGTAAGGCTCCCTCCTACCCACCCACAAGGTCCTCTTCCGGCCCCCTGACCTGAGAATAGAGTCCTGCTCTTCCATACTAGCTGGGTGCCCTTGGGCAAGTCACTTAACCTCTGAACCTCAGTGTTTTCATCTATAGGATGTGGATATTGATAGCATCTGCATCATCAAATTGAGGTGAGGATTGAATATTATCAAGGATGCAAAAAACAGCACAGAAAGTGGCCAATAAATGTTCGCTGCTATTGAGGCTTCTCGTGGTTTCTATTCCCATTCCCTGCCGCCTGTGTCTTCAGCGGGTCACCGAGCCCTTGCTGTGCACCTACTGGGTGCGTGGCCATGTTAGAAGACCATGAGAGGGTCGTTCCAGGGTACTGAACACCGATGGAGTGCAAGGCCTGGAGCAAGCGTGCAGTGGCCCTGGTGTCATTCAACTAAGACTGACGGCGGCACCTGGGCTGGGCCAGGCCCTGTGTCTGGTGCCGGGGAGCCGTGGGAAGGAAGAACAAACCCATTCCCTGCCTCGTGGAGTTCACAGACAAGTAGGAAAACACACAGACAGGTTGTCCCCGGAATAATTACAGAGCAGGCAGGACAGTGGAGGAGAGGGTGGCTGCATTCAATATGGAGAACGCCCTAACCTGTGAGTGTGCCAGGAGGAGAGCATGTAGTGAAGGGAGCTGTGGGGCTGAATGGACTTGGGAGTGGAAGAGGAAGCAAAGGCACCTTCACTGGAGAGGAAGGCCTGGGGGAATCTTCCAGGTGCAGGGGCAGAAGGGAAGAGGGATCGTGGTAGAGCATCGACCTAGGAACCAGGAGGTCATGGTTGGATCCCGCTCAGGGCACATGCCCGGGTCGCCAGCTGGATCCCTGGTGAGGAGCGTGCAGGAGGCAGCCGTCAATGATTCTCTCTCATCATTGATGTTTCTCTCTCTCTCTCTTGCTTCCTCTCTGAAATCAATAAAAATATAATTTTTTTTAAAAGAATGGGGCGCTCTGGTCTGGCTATGCAGAAGGGGCACCTAGAGCAGACTGGTTGATGAAGCCTGGCTGAGGGGAGGCTCCATCTCGCTAGCACTAGGGAGCCACACGGGGTTGTGGAGTGAGAGAAGCCGCTCCTCAGCTTATACTTATCCCCCAAATTACTCATTTGTTCATCATCGTTTCTCTGATCCTGAACCAGAGGCTTCTAACATTTCTTTGGAGGTTTCTTTTTAAAAATGTCTTTCTTTTATTGACTTCAGAGAGGAAGGAAGAGGGGAAAGAGAGAGAGAAACATCAATGATGAGAGAGATTCTTTGATCAGCTACCTCCTACACGCCCCACACTGGAGATCAAGCCTGCAACCGGGGCATATGCCTTGACCGGGAATCAAACCATGACCTCCTGGTCCATAGGGTCAACATTCAACCACTGAGCCACACCGGCCAGGCTGGAAGTTTCTAAAATGCCAAAGGCAAAATAAAATAAAATGCCAAAGGCGGCCAGCCGGTGTGGCTCAGTGGTTGAATGTTGGCCCTATGGACCAGGAGGTCATGGTTCGATTCCTGGTCAGGGCACAAGCCCTCGTTTTGGGGGCTCAATCCCCAGTAGGGGGCATGCAGGAGACAGCTGATCAATGTTGATATTTCTCACGGATGTTTCTCTCCCATCGATGTTTCTCTCCCTCTCCCTTCCCCCCTCTCTAACAATCAATAAAAACGTTTAAAAAAATCAAAATAAAATGCCAAAGGAACCCTTTATTGCTTCCTAGGTTAAAGCCTCCCTCAGCTCCCACTGCTTCAATATAAAACCTAGACTCTA